ACAGTACTTGTCTCGGCAAGATCGAATTCAGCCGCTGTCTGGGTGAGAACTCTAGCAGCCAGCTGCTCTGATCGGTAGTTTTCTGTGGTCAATTCCACGCGAATGCCGGAGCGCTACACTAACAAACGGGCAACGGCCCGCGCGCCATCTTTTCTTCCTCTTCCTTGTCCTTTGCTCTCCCCTGGCACACACACATATTCAAACCTAGATGTCTACACTACCACACGCGTCACCGGTCGCGACCTAACCAGCATTTCCCGCTTGGGGGAGATACCCGCAGACGAAATCCCTCGCAAGCAGATTTGTAGGTCGGCCCTCTCAGCCTTTCGACAACGTAACACCTCAGTGAGCCAGTCCAACGCATCATTTTTAACGCTTTTGTGCCACAAACTTTTAATTTGACATTTCGCCGCTTCGCTACGCGTGTCGAAGTTGCGAGAAGAGCCTGCGATTTCTCTTACGTTCTTGGCTGCGCATTTTGCTGTCCCGAGATAATCGCCCGCCCGCTCGGAACTCCTCCACGAGTCTCTGAAGCGATAGCCCAATACCCGTCTGCGTTGCGGCGGAGCCTTCGATGGATCTTTGCCTACATCTTAGTAAAATACTCGGTCGGGTTGGCACCATTAAAGGTGCACTCTGACTGGAATGGAAGAAAATGGTATTGTGAAGAAATAAAAACGATTTTTAAAAAAATCGCTCAATAGCACGAGAAATAGAAAAGTGGGAAGGATGCAAAAAGGTAATAAATAATGTATTTAAATTTGATAAGGAAAATAAAGTATACTATTAAATCTATACTATTCAAGGGCACAAAAATAATAGTAAAAAATTATGGAAAGTAATTAAGAAATTAACAGTATGTAAAAACTCTGATAGAATAACTAAATATTAAATTTATTGAAGGCAGAAAAGAAATGGACCAGCAATAACCATTTTGTAAGTAGCATTGAAATATAGTATAAAATACGACGGGAATCAAAACATTTACAAGCAAGAAGAAAGTGTACCGACGAATTGAATGAATTTGCATTGATCAAAAAGGAAGAATTACGTAGAATTATCTACGGATAGTTTTTGGCAGTATTGGGAGAGCGGTAAGGTGAATTCGCGCCGACCCGTGTAGAATCAAACAGCAACAAACGATGTATCCTGGAATACGATTATAACAACTACGTTGTCTACACATACAGTGTTATTAAAAATAATAAATAATTCTCTAGAAAAAGGGATTTTTTCAGTCATTGCTAACTTTCATAGTAATACCAGTACAAAAAGTGACAAATACACAGAGAGCAAGTGAATTTAGGCTAATAAATGAGCTACCCGATTATAAACAAATATTAGAAGTTGTAAAAATAAACTAATAATGAATGTTGAAAGGACGAAATTTATAATTTTACACAGTGGAAGAAACACAGCAGTAAGAAAAACTAAATAATTCACCACAGACTGAAATACAACAGGGGGTGCGACGAGACTTAATAACAATGTAATGGCAGATAATGTTAATGGAGTTTTCTCCTAAGAGCACAAATTAATGGAGGATTACTCCAAGTGCAAAGCAATCAATGCCCCCCCACCCCAACCCAGGGGTGCGGGGCTTGGTGACATGGTTGCTTGCATCCAGACGCAACAAATAAAAAACATTGTTTCTGGCTACACCGCATTTTAGAGGATGTAATTTGCTATATGTAGCAACAGAATTGATCCACTTTACCATTAACGGGGCCGGCAATAAGAGATTCTCTGCCAAAAAAACTTGTACGCCGCTGTTTTCCGGTGCTCGATTACATAACTTCCTCTTCTTACAAAGTACCTTCGTAAGGGTGAGCAAGTACAAGAATAACAACATATTTACTTGACAGTTCTGGAAAGTATAGTACACGATAATGTGTTAATAATCTCTGTAATAATAATGTTCAGTAATACAGGTGAGTTGATCAAGTTGAGAGAAATTCAATGGAAAAGAGAAGAAACATTAAATTAACGCTACTTACATGCAGTTAAACTTTCAGACATCAGATGTCAGCAGTCGTAATAGGTAGTGCTTGAAAAATATTTTCTCAAATAGAATTTAGTATCTAGTCTGTTCAAATATGCAGCTATAATATTTTTCCTTAAAATGTCCCTTATCCTGATTTCACTGATTTTTCTGTGCCTCACATTTATTTACTTCAATCTCAATCACACTGATACTTTTTTCTTAGAATGAAGGGATTTTTCAACATTCCTTTATCTGTTATTTAATTCACAATACACCACTGCCATGCTAGTTTGTTAGCATTTCTTTTATAGATTCTCAATAGTTTTCAATTGTTTCCATTTGCCAGTTTGAAAATATCGTTTGGCATTCTTTGAGTATAAAGAAAATAAGGTGGTAAAGAGTTTAGAGAAGGAAAATTATTACATTATTTTTAATGACAATTTATTGGAATGATGTCAGTCATTTTGAACATTATTGTACAACATACTGCTTCAAAATCATATGTACAATTTGATAAGATCAATTCATGCAATTCTTTTGTTCAAAAAGAAATATTCATGAACATTTTTAATGAATTTCATTTCATTAAATATGTTATTAAATTTTTGAAACAAACATTTTTGTTCCTTTAATCATGATCAATCATTATCATATAAAAGTGAATATTTTTACATGATCATAAACTTAAAATGATAGATATTACTTGTAAATAATAGAAAAATTAAAACAACAATCATATGTGTTTAATTTGCATTTGCTAAACAACTATTCTAATAGCTTATTTGTGATTGTAAAGTTTACGAAACTTTGAAAACATCACTATGATCTAAATGATAAGAAAATGTGTACACATTTACAACTTCAGACTGTCTTGAAGAACAGTTCATTCGATACAATTCTGGTCGGTCAAATTTTAAGATTCCTAAGCAGCTCATTTAATCATCAAAGGCCAGATAACAATGACATGAACTTGCAACTGAAAACATTTATCATAAAATAAACAAAGATCAATTTTTATGTTTTATTATTTGAATTATATCTGCCAATAATTAAGGCAAAGTCAGACCAGTTTTATTGAAATTTGTAAGCAAGTGTGTAGAAATATATGCCCACAATATTATGATTTTCATACAAAGGAAACAAAATAATTTCTAATTTAGCACTGCATGTGCAAATTTTTTTTTTTTTTTCAATTTCTTACCCCAAAAATCAAAATTGCTGATCACAATTTCACAAAATATTTAATAATTTAGCATAAGTTTAAATTGTATGGAAAACAGTATATCAGTAATCAATACAAAACAATATTTATATTTAAGTCACAAAATAAATTCATTAACAAATTTTCAAACAGACCTGCTGTTTCTGAAAATACATATTATATTATTCAGATATAGATGAAAAATATTTACATAAAACACATCATTGCACTGAATGTCCACAGAAATAATCGCTCTTAAGATAAAATTTAAGAAATATAATATAGCAAAAACAAATCATATGGAAGTCCCAAAACATATACAAACTAAACCCACTGATAATGAAAGTAAAATATATTATTTGTGTTTTCGAATCTCAACTGAGAGCTAGGAGGATGATCTTTTGAATGATGTATTATTCATTACATTTGTAATTAGTAATTAATTCATTCCTGAACAGAAACGATTCCTGAAAAGAAATTAATGAGATGTGTGTTCTAAAAATTTCACATTTAAATGTGAATAATACACACTCCATAAGATTTCTTGGTTTATCAGTATTGCATTTAAAGAAAATATTATTGAGCAATTCTCTGAAATTGTTTGTCATAAATGTTCTGTCTGTTTATGAGCAATTCGTTCTAGCAAAACTTGAGAGAGTTTCTGTTACAGAGAATTGAAATTATTTCTGTCCCAATTGTAAAACAAATATCTTGAATATATACTTACTTTTCTCACCAATTTTACAGCCACATAAAATATTCATCCTCTTAACTAACAGTCTACCTGGATATTATTTTCAATATCTCGAACCTCAGAAGTAGTAAGTAGTGCCAGAAATATTAATAATGTAAAAAGATGAAAAATGCTCAAAATCCTCCCAGAAATACCCATCTGAAGGAATAAAAATGCATGTTCAGGAACATAGAAGGTAAATATCACTTGTTTCTCAAGGACTGATAATAGTCTGCGAGAACTCTCCATGCTTTAGGAGCCATAAAACCATCAGGAGGATTTTGACCTGAACGAGCCAAACCTGCAAAAATCAAATTTTGTATAAGCACTTTACATATGATTCAATGTAATTATTATTTAATAAAAATGGTTGCAACTCAAGTAAAAGTGCAGTAATGACAATTCAATCAGTATGATGATGAAAAGAAAAGCAATATTAATGGCAAGAAAAATAGTTGTGGTGATGCACACAAGATTGAGAACTTTCACACACTTCAGTGACTAACCTGTCTAATAGCAAAGGTAGTACTAATAATAATGATAGAATATCTCTTAAATTTTATAAAAAGTTTTTGGTTTTTGTTAATTTTAATAATGTTTTATCATAAACAAGAGAAAAGGTGACACTGTGGCAATGAGGACACCTCATCACACAGTAACATGTGTCAACTTTATTCTCGTTTGGTGCAATAAATAGCATCCACCAACGCCTATGTTAGAGACAGCAAAACATAGTTTAAGGCAATAGATTTCTAAAAGTGATAGTGGTTTACGGTATTAAATGTTTAATATGAAATTTTGTAAAATGTATGTTGTAGATGTATACAGGAATTGCATTTGGTTTTTCTTCAATAATTTTTATATCAAAATAACTTGTTTAGGACGTTTTCTGTTTCTAGTGAAAGAAATTGGTGCTTATACCAGGTTCATGATGACTTGCTCATGTTCTTTTTGTTCATGAAGAGGATTATGGAAATCAATGATTATAACAAACATGATAATAAATAAACATTGAAGAAATTATAAACACATTATAAATAAAAAAATTACACACATTAAAGAAATAAAGCAGTCATTTACAATAACATACCTCTCATTTTCGTACCCGAAATAAACTCAAAATCTTGCTTTCTTTCTGGTTCAAAAAATGCCATCTGTGCTTTACTTTTGTCATAAGCAGCAACACGGAAGGGAATTATTTCAAGTGATGCAAGGCCAGGTGCCATTTTTAATACTCTAGCACCGTGAGTAGCATCATACAAATCACACTTCAGGTCTGGATCAGGATGAGGTAATCCAGCAGGGTCACGTCCAACTATGTAGAAGTTGGCACCAGCAGACATTCGAGCTTTTGCATGCCACTGAACCTGGATAAAAAACAAGGCATTAATAAAAGGTTCATTCATTCTAATCAATTGAGATATTCCAAATGACACAAGGGAGATTTGAAATAAATTTAGTAAAACAGGAACTATTACAACATTGGAACTTAGAGGTGAAAATTTATGAGTAATATTACACATTTACAAACAGAACATATGAGTGCCACGTTTGTGGAGATGAAAATCAAATGCAGATATTACAACACCAAATTGTTCTTTTATCTTGTTCTCTCTTACTTTTTGCAGACCATTTAAAATATATTTTAAAAATAAAATTAAGAGACGATTGTAATATTCATCAAGAAAACCTGACAAAAAAAATTATTTCTAATATTATTACAAAAAAAATTAAATTGTTTGGAAGTCAGGATACGTTTCAAAATGCTGTGTCCAACTTAGGGCAGTGTATAGCAAAACTTACGAAAATAATACCCAACTTTGCGTAGGGCCTATAATAAAAACATTTCAAAATGGCATTTCCAACATGGGGCTGCTAATAGCATAAAGAGAAATGTTTGACAATGTCCTGAAAAATGTTCATGCTTTTAGCTTATGTGAAGGGGTAAGTCTTTGCTAGAACCAGTCTCAGTTCTGATTTTTAAGTATACCAAGCATGATTGTGACAAGAGGTTTTTCTAAAAGAAATCAAATTTGTTCTAAAAAGCCAATAACTGAAATGAGATCCAATACGATACTCACAGGTGACACACTAAAAGCCATTGTTGATGAACCTTCTGCTAAAAGAGCTACTACATGAAAGATATAAGAACTGATTCATTTTAACAAATGTCAGAAAAAAAGTATATGCTTTGATAACTTTGAAACAAAATGTCCTACCTAACAAAAAAAAGCAAAATAAATAAATGTATTCAGAGGCAATGAAATAAAAGTTAAAGAAACACAAAGGTTCCTGACAACGAAATCTAATATACATAATAGGTGCATTTACCTCTGTAGGTCCAGCATAATGCATAGGAGAAGGAAAGATTGCCAAAAGAGTTGATTTTGGATCCAAAACTCCATCTTCCAACACAGCTTGATGTTGTTGCATGCGGACAGGAAGAGGTACATCATCATCCTTTGTCCATCCTCCCAATGGATGAAGAAGTAGGACTGGCTTTTTAAAGCCCTTTTCTTCCAACAATCGTCGGCGGGTATCCTAAATAACGGGACCATATGATCTCAGATGAATTTAACTACATATAAACAATTTCTTGCAAATACAAGGAAGATTACAAAAATATTTTCTTCAAAAACAAAATATATTGTAATGATTATTTTGCAACTTAGATATATTCAAAGAATTAAATATACAGTCTTGCTCAACCTTACTTCAATTTATGAAGGCATTTTTATCTGACAATGAACAATATAGAGTGGTAATTATAAGATGTTTTGGTGCCATTATTATTACATTCTTCAATAACCTGTTAAATTATCAAACCAATTTTTCAATGAAACAAAGGCTGAAATAATCCTTAATGGGTTACATCTAATAATTCACAATCTACACAATATTATGAACACATTCAAGTAATCTCTATTCTGTCACCATGCATTTTTTTTATTTTTTAAATTTGTTGCTTCAACTTAGACACAACACATCTCCAAGCCCCTTGGGGGAGTTGAGCATTTTGCGCTTTTGGAGTAACACTCCATTAATTATTGCGCAGGAATGATACTCCATTAATTAACATTGTCACCTCTCAGTCAGTTGTCAAGAGGACCACCAGATAGCATCTCTGCGTATGCGCTTCTGCGTAAGAGTGGCCAGATTTGGGAAAAAATAAGGATAGGAGTCAGGTTTAGGATGCTTCACAGGGGTTGTATACATAACATAAGTAAATATTTAAATCAATTACTTGCTAAATAATAGAAGGAAAACAAAAACTCTTAGCCTGGGGGGGGGGGGGATGCCACCCGTT